CGAATCGAATATAGCTTTGATATCGAGGAACCAGACAACAGTGCGACGCCAATTTGTGTGGCGGTGCTTTAAAATCCGGCGCAAAGTGAAGATGTGGTCAATGCAGCCACGACCTCGACGAAACCCGGCTTGCTCTTCACGAATCTGGCTTTCACGCGTGCCAGTCAGTCTGTGAAGGATGGTAGAGGCAAGCATTTTGGAGGCGATGGAGATCAGACTGATTCATCTATGGATGTCGCATTCCGATCGTGAGCCACGTTTGAAAATTGGGACTATGACAGAGCGGCTCCAGTCGGTTAGGACAGTTTCCTGCTTCTACAGTTTTACTAGTAACTCGTATAAACCATCCGCAAGAGATGGTCCCCCGCATTTGAAGAGGGCTGGATGTAGGTCATCTGATACCGCGGCTTTATTTAACCAACAGTGCGATCTCACGTTCGACTTCTGAGCGAGAGGGTGGATCCAAAGGGACAACTCAGAGAGCGGAGCGATTAATGGCCGGCTAGAAGCCTAACAATTCCGACCGATAACATTGCTTTCAAACTACTTAGCCCAACGCCCCAAGCGTTTTACAACTTGTGGATAGGCTGTTCACACTCGTCACGTATAGTTCCAATAAACCCAGGTCTCCTGCTCCCAGTTTCCCGTTGCAGCCGGAATAAATTACGATGGTTACCAAGGGCAGCGGCCATTTCCTTCTCTAATACACAATGAAATCACGAGGATTCGCGGTTTCTCTTCAGGCTAGCACGGAGTTTTGCCCGAAGCTCTTTGCGAGTTACATTGTGTTCGCTTCCAGCCGGAATATGCCGGCGAGCATCGATAAGTTCCAGTGACTGCAAAGAGACCCAATGTGCATGTTGGCTATTAGGCTTACCAGATGAGAATGTTCCTTGCGCTAGTAAGGATTGATAAATAAGAGACCAGTGAGTGCTTACAGCGTATGTTGATTGGCATTCAGAACAGGTAGCCTCACCAGTTGGCTGGTGTCAATGCGCTCACAGCGCCGTCTTGCGCATCCGCCATAACGCATCCGCAGGTCAGGACATACAAGTGCATGGTCGGTGTCCACACGTGTAATCCAAATCGAGCGACAGTTCTGGACGCAGCCTCTCCATCAGTAACTTACCGCAATGTGATCGATTTGCGTCCATAGCTGGTTCGAGGCTGGTGGGTGCCAAGTCACCCTCCGGCGGGTCCTGCGTTGGAAATTAGTGCTCGTAAGAAAAAAGCGAGCATCTTCCCACAGATGCAGTAACCGATCATCGTTGTCATTACGGGAGCCTATACCATGTTCGCCGCCCAGATGCAGCTCATCTGTGGATAATTTTATAATTTGAGCTTCCAGATCCCAGCCAGCAAAACGGCGTCCGAGCTTCATCTGGGGCGAAGGAACTCGTTCAATTGACGCTAGAAGTCGTCTTTTACCCAACCGTCGTTGGGGTTTGTGGATGCATAGGCAGCGTTGATGAATATATACCTTTTAGTCCCGCACGACTTTGAAGCTTTGAACGAGCCAGCCAGTCGGACCGCGCACATCCGGCTACTGATTGGTATCCAGTCAACCAGAATAGCTTCAGTCCGGAGATTCAGGGCAATACCAACACCGGCTTGGCGGGTGCTGGAAGCTGCATCGTCACCGGATAGGCACAGTTAGAAATTGTTGCTGGTGTCGCTTGAAGTGGATGGTATAGTGAGCACAGTGCTCGAGACTTGCATGCTGGTCCCCGATAAGCAGCAGCTATCGATTGAGAGGGTCTCTAATGTTCGGGCACGTGCTGCCTGTTGACCGATCTGTAGCAGTGTACGTACATTAAGGCATGCCAATCTAAAGAATGATCGAGGGCTCCAAACGGAAGTCGATGAACTGAGCTTAGCTGCTTGGTTGGACATGGGCTTTTCGACAGGACAGGAATGACGCTCCGCGTTTACATATGAGGTGAAACTAGAAATGCCTAGCAAAGCAAGGTGCGGGAGGGCCAAGAATTGGGAAGTTGAAAACGGGGATAAAAGTGAAGCCGTAATGGGACGGTAAGAAAGAAAAGGCCTAAGATGGGGAATAAGAAGATATTTGGGCTTAAGAAGTGGCATCCAAACCCCTATCCACCTTGCTGGCTGCAGCAGATAGGGCACTGTTGATTATCCTCTACGGTGGATAGAGCATCACGAAAATTTTTGAAGGGAATTCCTTGTATTGCGTTGGCTTGATACTGTCAGGTTACCCGGTCTGAACAGGAGAACGATTAGTGTTCTCAACCAAAGCCTTTGTTTCAAAAACCTGACCGCAAGGCAGCGGGTTTGGCGTTGGACTACAAGGAGTCCATTGTAAGAAATAAGGAGGCACTTCATTCCAACCCCAACCTTGAGGATCAGGAGGCTGAATGTGGCTGGCCTCTACCCATTAAGCAATCTGGTATGAGTGCCTCTGAAGGTGCTAAAAAGGCACCAACAGCTTAGCTTAATAAATCACCGAAGCACACAAACCATCGCACGACGGAAATGTTCAGCCTCATTGCGATGGCAGAAAACTCGAACGACCCTACGATGGTCTATTCAAGGTCATACACCTTAAGGAATATTTATTCCTAATCGAACGCAACAGCAAGTTAGGAACTGTTCTAGTCGACCGTCTCAGAGCTACTCACGTCGACCAGAGTTTAGTGAGGAAGCCAGTGCTCCATCCTCCGACGAATCGACTAAAGCAATGGTAGTGGAAACGTCTGTAGAGAGCAACACCTCAACTGAAAACCCGTCAACTAATACTTTCGACGCCACACAGCCTAAAATAGATACTAGGTCCAGCCGTCGGGTACACAGGCCGGCAATTTCTCAGAACGTTAAGCTAGCATTAATGCTTCTACAGGGTTAGCAAAAAAGCACAAATGTTTTGGTAGATAGTATAAAATCGGAGAAAACCTATTAAAAACCGCTAGAAAAAGTCCTTTCTTTGACTTTTTTGTCTGGTATGTACTGCTCTCACTTGTAGCTATCGCTGCTTCTACATAATTAAGCACCAAGTTTTCTTCTTTTTTCTGTGTTGCGAACTGGAGAACTCTCACTCGTAATCAGACACAAGTGCTAGTGTGCTATGAACGTTCTCCACCTTTTATCGGCACCGTCGTGGAGGAGCCGGGTGAGAGCCCGCTAAGGTCCAGCTGCGTTGTTTTCCCCCAGTAACGGCATCCATTTTCACCATCTAGCCCAGCAGAAGAATGACTGGTGACGGACACTCCTCACCTAGCTGAAAGGGTTAGCCACGGTGCTCTTCTAGTTAAGTGTTGTGTAGTGAACTGTTGATTCCCCTTATGTCTGGGTACGATTTCTAACCTATTTAACAAATCTAGTTTCATGTTGGACAAAACAACGTGGGAATTTTGTCTGTTCGAACGATGACTACGAACGTTTGATGCAACCAGACGAAGCGCACTTCAGAAGCTTCCGGCTTTCCGCTTCTAAAAGTGTTAACGATATCTGCATTGGCGACCACACTTCTCTTCTTGCCAGAACATTTTTATGGCGTCTTTAGCTAGTGGGATTACACTTGTCAATCATAAGCCTCTATCGACTAAGCATTTGTCAGTTTCCGACTTTTCGCTGAAGCGGGCCGAACCTGAGTTTAAAGCGACGTAATTGTTCTACTATAAACTCAATCCAAATGTAAACTGCACGATCCGCAAAGAATTTAGCGTTAATTGCTAGACTGTACCTCTGCCACTTATTTTTAACTGCTTTCTCCTTAGCTTGGCGGTAGAAACTGATTACTACCACCTGCTTCCTATATGATTGTGTTAACTAAGTTACTTTTCATAAATTATTACTGTCAGCACTCATCTCTGTCTGAGCTGCTCCATGGTGAATTACCTAAAACCTCTGCGCTCATCAGCTGAGTTTCCACTTTGGCCCTTAGTCATACTAGTCGCCAGGTTGGTTCAAGTAACATGCTTCTCGTGGTACGGTAACAAAGCCTACGAACGGTAATCTAAGTAAGGTTATACCACTACTTTATATAAGGGGCGGAAGGCCTCAGGTTTCCTGTTGTAAAATGCTCACCTAACAGAGAATAGCTTTTCCCGCTTCGGCTGCGTACCGACACTGTGCAGATGGTTTAAATTTAGTCAAGGTCAAATTTCAAGACATATGTGGTCATGACAGCTCAGGTTAGATCAGGTCTTCAGGGACGAAACATGCCTGAGCCTAACTAGGCCTAATTAGGACGCTCTTTAAAGAGCGTCCCGCTTCAGGAAAAGCGTAAACAAGCAAGGACTCCTGGCACTTAAACGTTCAAACTATATTTCCGCAGATAGAAAAAAGAGTAAGGGAAACGTTTCATAACCTTATAAAACCATTCATGACATCTATTTGTACTATTTGAAATAAAGCAAACTCCGTGCAATAAGGGAAACAGAGTGGAACAACTCATATCTAGGCCTCTTTTAAAGTCTTAAATATTATTACACCTCCCTAGTGTAGAAGTGCATTTCAACTGCGTACTACGCGGTTAGAAAAAAGTTTGCCTGGATATTCAGTCTGGGCCTATGTGTTATGTGCTTAAAATGGTGTCCTTGCAGTTGGTCCGACGTAGATTGTTCAGTGAGATCAGTAGGCTTAATGTTACTGAGTCTCTACATTAGCATTAACTTCTCTATCAGACCTCCTCTTAGTCCGGGTGATTCTAATGAGAAAAGCCTCGACAATCCAGCTGATCAACATACCAATTCTCACGCTGGCATTTGGTCATCCTGGTGGCCAGTGTTTGTAAACGCGAAGCATGCGGCATCCTTTCGAAAGTAAGGTGACTAAGCCTGAACACAATACATTAAGCGCGGCCGAACCACCGCCTAGTACAATGGAAGAAAGACAGCAGGATTAATAGTACACAATGCTCTCCTGAGGCGAAAACCTTCCTGTATCAGATAACACTATAAAAAGCAAAAATAACAAGGTTTTAAATAACAATTAAGCAATAAACGGATACCGCAAATAAACCACTATATATTTACTGTGTAAAAGCTTTGGATCTAAATCGGCGGTCATTTTGCTTCATTAGGTAAGCAAACTGGTTGCCAATGCTTTTGCAAATGTGGTGAATTTAAACGAGGTGCATTAGATTGCTTGAACAACGCCATTTGAAGTTAGGAACGTGCATTTACATGAACTGAGTTATTTATGTATACACAGGTAGCTACTATACTGCATCTTCTTATTTCGGGTTAATCAGGACAGGAATATTTCAAGAGCATTGCCAGAGGATATTATTGTGGGGACAGTTTTATAGAACTGCATGCCTAGGATTGTGACGTGATAAATGTTATGGCACAAGAAGTCTTTATTTCAAAACAGGTATTTCAGACTTCGGTCAATTAGTCTAGTTTTCTTTTGTTAATGCCGCCATTACCCCCGATTAGCATATTGCACGTACGGTGACGACGAGGTTGCAAACAAAAGAATAGGAGATCGCCGAGACTAAGTTAGAAGCTAATGGTCGTTTCCGCTGCTCTCTGAGATCAGCGCGCACGTCTATCACCGTTGCTAAACTTTCAGCGCTGCCCTCAAGTTTGGCAAGCCTTGAAATGGCGATAGCCGAGGTAGTTTCTATTACCTCACTCGAGGCGTAAATGGCGTTGATATTAAAACCCTGTATATTGCGATTGAGGACACTGCAGTAGACTGCAACGTTGCTGACGATGTATCAGCTGCGGTCTGTAAGTCGGGCAAGAATTCGCATGTCCCACCCTACACGCTGTGTGGTATTGAGGACTCTACTCATGAGCCTGTCAGAGTAAAGAAAAATAGGGTACCAACATACCATAAGCTCTCTACGATACTAAGAGAAATAGTGGCCGCGGCATCGAGCAAACGGCCGTTTTCGTCACTGGTAAATGCAGCTGACGGTGGTGCACAGGAGAACCTTCCGGAGATGCTGACCGTCTCGACTGCCACTAAACAACCTGTTCTGAAGACATATTGGTAACTGCTTAATGCGACGCAAGGTCAACGATCCCTTCTCCCTTGAGCTAAAAGAAGAAGAAGAGGACCAAATCTGCCCGTACAAGTCCGAAGCGGCTTGAGGACCCAGGAACCCGGAAGACACCGGCAATGGTATACCTAAAGGTAAAGGTACGACTACAAGTTGGGGGGCGTATAACCAGTGTTACAGGTCCAGGCACATTAATTTCGGAGCTAGGTATTTATACAGGTATGTAGGATTGCGTATGCGTAGCTGTTATTCGAGGTTGAAGATGCACTGCTGCACTTGTGAGTAATCGCATGGAGAGCTTGCGAATGAATGAATGTCTTTTTAATGGGTTAGTAGATAGGTAAGCCCGGGTTCTGTATAAGGTTGGTGGTGAATCACATCCGCCAAGGTGTGTTGCCGTTAAACCGACAGTAGTGGCATTGTATAACGCGAACGCTTGGCAAGTGAAAACCTACCACTTCCTGAAGCGCCGCGGTCAAACATTTTGAAGAATAATGCAAACTGGCAACGCATCTTACAGGCTGATGATTCGCTGGGTTATTTGGAAGCGTGTGATTGCCTGTCCAAATTGATTAGTCAGGGGTTGCCACTAATTATTCTGGACGTTTGACGTTGTAGTAGCGTCATGGAGAATGGAGCGAAGGATTTGCGCTGGTGCATAAAATGTCGAAGTAATGGTTCAGCTTGTCTGTTATGGTTTACCGGTCCAGTAGACTTGCTGCTTAGATATGCACACTAAACTCGTGTCATGGAGGCAGCGTGTGCAGTTTAACCATGGGGTGAGCTTCAGCCCAATGGTGGATACCCAGGCCTTTCCTGACTACTCTCCGGATCGCTGAAAAAGGGAAAGTGACAGACAAACTGGAGAAGGCCGTAAACAACAGTCGTAGAAACAACCAATGGGCAGTCTTGTGTTAGGTATATTTTGGCTTGAAACATACTGATATAACTAGTGTAAAAGATAATACGTCGCAAATGCTTTGGTTCTGCAACAAATGGAAACTTTGGCATGAGTAGATCATCGTCCTATTCAGAGCGTGGCCATTGAAAATGCTTTGTGATATATTATTGCACGGCTGTTCGACTAATGTTTGGAGATATTATAAGGGTTCAACTACTTGACGGCGATTTAACGATGCTTTCCGCTCAACATATCACGGGCTAAGGGGTTATGGCTTGCAGAATGAGATTTGTCGCAGAACTCTGTCCTTCAGAACCGAACGGTTTATTCGACAAAACAAAGCTCAGCAAAAATGACAGCCTGACAAACTCGTAGGAACCCCGATAGAAATGAGTGTCATTTCCATAACCAACGGCACAGCTGCGTTAAGGAGACTCCTCCTTTTAATCAGGTGAACAACCCAGCCCTTGCAAACCAATCGACACGTAGACAAAATTTGCGCAGGCCTCAAACAACTTCACTGCTTGCTTGCACATGCTATTCACTTGCATGCACAATCGTACGACGTCCTGCCGTTTTTCGGTTTCAGCTGTTTTGGTGTCGCCGAAGAATGCATACGCCCTACCGCTCCGTGTGTTCTTTTCTGCTTCAGTCCTTGCGACCTTTCCATAGGGCTACAAACGTTTTGCTGTAGGTTCACCTGCTCGTTCCCGTTGTCGTTTCAGTTACACTTGGTTCGCTCTGTTTACTTCTCTCCGGTACTAACCTCCTAATATCTTTCTCTAAACTTCGCGGTCAACACACATTGCTTCCATCAGTGGTTGACACCCGGTGTTGGTTGGATCCATACTGCATTCTTTACTTCTAGCTCCGGTAACGCCGGTGTCCTTCGGTCAGTATGCCTTTTCTGCTCCACCATACATTACCTCAAGATACTTTGTGGTTGCTCACGCAATAGCGATGCAGGTCTTACGTATTGAGCAGACTCAGACATTACGGTCCTTACCATTCTGCTACACAACCGTTGCACTAGACTGAGACGGAGGTGCCGCAATGACGTACGGTGTACCTAAAACAGTATTAGTTGCGGTCCTCATAATTGGCGTTGGTTTTCGACAACAGCCTATTCACATGTTTGACCTTTAGCCGTCCATTTCTGTTAGACTGACTGTGGTACGACCTCGCTTTTCAGCGCCAAAATATCTGCTTGTTTGTTAAATTTTGGAACACAGCGCTTGTAAATTGTGGGCCCTTTCGGATATACATTTCTCTGGTATTCCGTGTCTGGCGAACTGACAACTAAGTTTGTTGCAGACTGCTTCTGGGGTGGTAGCGGTAAGTAAATCGCTCACCAATTACTTACGGTAAATAGTCCCCTATTCGACACCCTTATCTAATACTTGTATTATAATTAAACCCTAACGATGCTGTATGATCCCTCTTCACCAAGCGTCGTTTCCCTCACCTTGTCCTACTCCTTCTCTTATCTCGTTTTCGCTGGCTTGTATTCATTTGCCTGCATTACTGACTTAAGTTGCTCCTACGCTTAGCTTTTACACTGCAGTTCCATACTTCGTGCGTATGAACTCAAGTACTTGGATATGCTGCTCACTTAGATCCTTACTCCCAAGCTGCCATCAGTACCTCTCATCCCCTTTCCTCTGTTTAAAACAACGACACTGCATAATCCAGCTCCAAATCGTTCCGCTTTTCTTGCCCACTCCTACGCCCTCACTTACCACATTGGCTCTGGCTTTCCTTTTCTCATACGCACCACCTACTTCGGCTTCTCTAACAACGTACCTTTGCTGCTATGGCTCGGCACATTTTCCATCCCTTTACCAATGCTCTTCAATAACCTAATCTATTCTGACCAGCCTGCTTCCCTTAGACTTCTTCCAGACTACCGAGAAGTTAAACTTCTAGGTTTCGTAGGTTCAACGCAATGTCCCCCTCACCTCGACAGACTGCTGGACTTGAGCACTCTGTATTAATATAGATACATCCATCTCTAACCTGTCCACCTCTCGAACCACTACGATTGTCTTCCCAAATGCACTATAGACTCAACCACAATGCGCCGAATAATATAATCTCGCCTGATCGGTCTCCTTCTCTCCTAGTTCTCTCAGGCTGCTGTGACGTTACCGGCATTTGTTCGGAAGACCAAAAGCTCTGCCCCCATTCCTTCATGAGCCACACCTTATAAGTAAACCTTCTACTATGCGGACCCTCTACTCTCGTTACGGCGCTCTACGATTTCATTTCTTCTTAATTCGGACCGCCAAATGTCAGTGCCCTCAATAACCTTGTCTCATCTGACCGGTCTGCTTCTTTGACCCTTTCCAGACCAGCAAGATTTAAATGGTCTAGGCCCTGAAGACTCAAAGCTATGTCTCCCTTACCTTGACCGCCTGTTAGACTTGTTCGTCCTTTATTAATACAGGCACATGCGTCTCTAACCTGTACCTCCATTGACCCACTCCATTTGTCCTCCTAAATTGGCTGCTTAACTAAACCTCGTTACGCCGACTAATCCAAGATCTTCCGAACGATGTACAAGTTATTTGTTGACCGATTGTACATTACTCCTTCTTGTTTTAATCTTACAACCGGCTTGACACACAACTGTCTTGTAAGTCCCCGCGCTCACCTGTACGCTGTTGCCTCGCTTTATCCGTCCGCTTCATATTGTAGCGCATCGAATACAATCCGCTGCGTCCGACTGCCATTGCCTTCTGATGTCCGCGCGTATTTTCGCGCACCGTCGCCGAGTAGTATTAACTAGTCCTACAAGTTGGTGACCCCGATTCGAACGCGCGAATTCATCTTTTTTCTGGTTTGTATTGCTTGGTGATTTCGTTCCTTTTTCTCGATTATATAGCTATGTTTATTTGTTTTTGCGTAACTTTGGTACTTTTATCGTATTTTGTTGATTCTTCATCTTTCGACTCACATTTCGAGGTTGGCAACTGAGTCCTTTCACAGCGTAAACATACTTACTTTGGCTGTTTCAAGTTTCATGGAACACAGTCCAGAAGTTCGTTTGAAGATAATTGGGATCGGACTAGGGAATAAGGGCAATACAGCGGACCGTCCGAGGTACAATCAGCTCGTCCCACGCCTTCCTCCGTCGGTTGTGGCGCTGATTGAGGACATTCTACTCTGCCGATCGAATGAGGAAAAGTATGAAAC